AGTAAGTTCTCTCTCTCATTTTAGCATAAAAGGGTGGACAATCAGTTAGGAAGCTGCAAGCCATGACTCTCTAATCCATACTTTCTTCATCACCTTGTCCATATCTATATGTTCTTTATAAACCTCAAACATATAGTCTATATTTTTTATGTACTTGTCACGCCCTGAGCCTACACCCTGGACGTGGCCGGTATTCGGAGACCATCGCTGGCCCCAAGCGGACCCTTGGTCTGGCTTACTTAACTCAGTGGAAGACTTAACTCAACAAAATAAACTCATGCAATAGTTTAAATGATAGCATCTTAGCCAAAATGACACTTATGTCTCAAACAAAGTATCTACAAATACATAGTTGAGAGACTCAATACTAACTGTCTGACTGTCTATGAAGCCTCTATAATACTGAGATGGATGTTGGGACAGACCCCACAACATCCTAAAAAGAAAAACTAGGAAAGCGAAATAACAGAGTCCTCCAAAATGCAAGGAGGCTCACCACTGACTCTGGAGTGCTCAACTGGATCAACGGCGTGTTGGATGCTAATCCTGGTTACCTGTGTCTGCATATAATAAGATACAGACCAACTGGCATCAGTACATTGAATGTACGAGTATGCGAATTGGAAAGCTAAACAACAACTTAAGCTTGAAAGGAATACAAAGGAACACTTACCATGGCTCTGTCTAATTTATGAACAACTGAACTCAATATAAAGCAATAAGACACATGCAATATATATAAAGGTTGTAAAACTATGTAAACAACTTAGTTTGTTAAAGATAAAGCAATACCAAACCCAACTTACTTAAATATAAAAGTAATATAACTTTTGTGGGAGATTCTCTAACCGACAACCACCACTATGAGCCTAAGTGGTAATACAACATTTTGCCCACGCTGCCAGAACTGTCCTATAATTTGCCGTCATATAGAATGCTTAACTTAGTGGATCCACTAGTCTATGCTAAAAGCATCTTAAGGAGTCATCTAAAAAGTATGATCATTTACTACCCATGATGGCTATATGGTTTATGGAGACTTGAGTTAATATGAACCCGCATCCCCATATCGGTGCTCAATACTACTCCCAAAATATACTTAGCTCATATGTTTGTAAAAACAAAACTCTTTCTTTGAATTGAGATAATTACTCAAAACTTAGCTTAAAAGCTCTCTTGGAATCGATGTTCCCTTTCTTGCTCAATTGTGAAAACATTTATAAACTCTTTGGGAATACTTAGTCCCCTTATAGCTTTTTGAGAAATGAACTCAACTCTTTACTCTTTGCTTAACTTGAAACTTGAGCCTAAAAACGAAGTTAAAACATTTGTTAAAGACTCTTGAAAACTTTAAGAAACTTTGCTTTGACTTGCTTCTTAACTTCTAGACTTGACTCTTAACTTCGTTGACTTGATCTTAACTTTCCTTGAATTGAATTATGGATTCAAGGTTCATGATCTCATGTTTATGGATGATTTCATGATGTTTGAATGTACCTTAGAGTGTTGGAATCAACTAGAAAGCATAGGTACATCGCTTAGGAACAAGTATGAAAAGGTGGGTAACGAATGGGAAGAATTGGCGTCCCTGGCGCTCTTAGAGGCGCGGGGCGTCAGCCCTCAAACTTTAGAGAAGTCTGGCTGGTGCGACACGCCAGAGGCCAAACTTCAGAGAAGTTTTTTGTCGGCCTCTGGCAGGCGCAGAGCCCCAGCCCTTTTGCCCAGCGACTTTTGATTTTTCTCTTCCGTTCTTCCTCTCTAAACCTCCTTGACTTCCATAGTTCATTCGCCAAACACTTAGGATCAATTGTACCCTCAATATACAACCAATCTAACTCAAAAAACAACTCTGAAACATGAATGAACTCACTCCCAAGCATCAACAACTCAACCAACAAGAATTCTACAATTTGTTCTTCAAGAACCTTACTTCTTCAACATGTAAACAACTCAAAACAATTGCATTGAAACAATTTGGTGTGTGGGTGAACTAACACAACACAAAAAGGTCTCACATACCTTAATAGGGATCACCCCCGACGAATTCCACTCCAAATGCTTGACGTTCTTGGCGAAATCTTGGCTTTTCTTCCTTTTCTTTCTTCTTTTCTCTTTTCTCCAAGCCCTAAGCATATTTATCAATTCTCCAAACTGAATAAGTCATGTTTTTACCCCCAATAAATCCCTAAAAATGAATTAGGAAATTAATTAGAGTAAAGACTAATTTGCCCTTCCCTAAATCCGGATTGAGACTTTCCTCAATCCAACAGCCCAACTTCTGGAAGGCATATCTCACTCATACGATGTCAAAATCGTGCAATCTTGGCGGTGTTGGAAATATCTCTACAAGGGATTTCCAACCATATCTATAGCTGCTCCTAAATCCTCCTGAGCTAGGAGTTATGGTCGTTTGAAAATGGCCAAAACTCACTTTCTTAACTTGGACAAAATTTCCAGATTTCCTTATTCTTTCAAAAAATCAATATTTTCATCTTTTATGCTCTTTATAGTCATTTCTAGGTGCGAGATGTTACAGTACTCATAGTCATCTTCTTGTTTTCAAAAAATTCTATTTTTCTCTTCCTTTCACGCATTCTGTGCTGGGGTATGCAGATGCACAAAAGGATTCTTGTTGTCAAAAATGTGATATTGGAAAGAGGGTAATTCCTTCATCATGTTGATTGGAAAATGAGTACTCTTAGGGATCCAAGTTGCATGCCTCTACAAAGATTTGTCAGAGTACTATGCCAACAAAGAAATATATGAAATTTCCAGGTGGGCATTGTATTAACTAGGAAAAAGAGGTACAAACCGGGAAAACAAGAGGCCTACATATTGAAGAAGCACTTGTTCTATCATCGGCACTACAACAAAAAGGCTTATTAAAGACCAAAATATAGTAACAAGTTATAAATATGATCCCTAAAATATACTTATAAGGATGATATTATTTACTAGTCTCTATTTGACTATATTATTTTCTAATAACAAATAAACTCGTCCCTAAATGAAATTTTCAGTGGGAACTACAAGGAAGAGCGGGAACTAAAAGGCACTAAAAATTTTTCTCTCTCTATAGTTATAACCTAAAACCCCCAAATCCATTGATAAAGCTATTAGATTTTTCTTTCTCTCTCTAGCAATATGCCAAAATCGATGTGCATAGCTCTGAAGTCTCCTTACTCTTGAATCTTGAAGGCATTATTGGCAGAAAAATCTCCTAAATCTTGGAGCTTGAAGGCATTATTGGAAGAAAAATGTTTCACCTACAACTTGCATCTACATCTAAAGTAAGTTTATTCCTCCTGATTCATCTCCCCCTTCTTCTTTTTCTGTAAATCTGCCATTTTTCTTTCTGCTGGTCGAATTTTATGTGATTGGGCTCTTATAGATACTCATTGTTATTGTGTAAGGACTGAAAATGATAGTTTTATAGGTAAGGCTTGGGTTTGAGGTTCAAAGAGGAGTTATTTGAGAGTTTATTTAAGATTTTCTCTGTTAAAAGGGTTGAATAATTGCTAGGGCTGCCAAGAAATTTTGGTAAGGCTGGCATTGCAAAAAAAATTTCCATCAGGTGATGAATATGTAGAATACTTTTACCATTAGTGTCTTTAATTCAGTTCCCAATTTATGTGCTTTGAATTTGAATGGGTTTTTTTTATTGTATAATTATTGTATTCAATTTTTAAGTATAATGTGACACTAAAAAGATTAAACGAGAAAGAAACGAAATTGTGAATGAGCATTGACAAAGCATTTGATTGTAGTTTCTTTTTTTTGGTGTTTCAAATGTTGTTTTAATTGTTATTTTCTACTACAACTAGTGCTGCATATTGGTTTCTAAAGTTACTACTTGTGGCGCATTTTTGAAATCTTAAGCTACATGGAAATTTGTGGTTGTTTGTCATTGTTGTTTTGGTGGTTGTTGTTTTCAATTAGATGCTATATGTTTTATTGAAATTGTTTGGATCCTCGTGTAGTTTGATACAAAAAAATTGTTGGAGAAGTTGTTGATAAGTTTAGCTTTGTGAAACATGAAAAAGGTTATTAGTTATTGTCACATAATATAGTTTAACTCGCAGTGTGTAGTGTTCTAAACTATATTATGCGACATCCACGTGGATGTCTACGAGTTAAACTTGTCGTCTTTATTTGAAGTTCACTAGTAGGTTTAGGAAGTCGCATCTGTTAAGACCTTTTAGTTTTATTATATATAGCAACACGTATTCAATTAAAAGAAAATATGTTATTAGTCCATTTTAGAATGATAAATAGTCTATAAATTTGGATCACTATTGAATAGTACTAACCTCATTCTAATGGAGAAAATATTGTGCAGAGCTCTGTCAATATCAGATTCTTCTAATTTCTGCTTCTTCAAAGCTAACTCGTGATAAAATTTTACAGAGAAAATTGACTTTTGGCTATTTAAGGATTTTCAAGTGATGATAACAAACTCATTTAGAACATGTAAGCTCTTCTTCCGCTCTTAACTTTAACTTTTTGACTAAGTTTTGTTCCTTGTAAATTTTCATTTGCGATTACAGTTTACTCATCACAATATAAGTAATTCTTGATGTTTTACTATACAATCGTCATAGCAACATTAAGCTGACTGGAAACTCTTACTATTTTATGACAATATGTTTCTAACTTGTGTAGTCATCGAGTACACGAGTACATTTGCCATTGAACATGTTGTTTGATTCCTCCAAAATACACACTGCTTTTATCTACATTTGCCACCAGTTCTGAAGCCTCTGAAAATTGCATAAAACATTTATGTAGATAGCTCACAGACTTTATATCTCCGCTGCAAAACATCAACAAGTCATCAGCAAAGCTAAGTTGGATGATTTTTTGTCTCTTACACCTAGGATGGTAATGGAACTCATGGTTTGTATGAAGGCTTTTTAAGACCCTTGTGAGATAATCCATGGCTAATACAAAGAGAAAAGGCGACATGGGGTCCCTACCGAGTTAATGAATCACAATGAACTATGATGAAGGCACCTAGCAGGTGCTGGGGAAAAACAACTAAATAGAAAGCTTTGTAACTTGTAAGCTTACACCCTTCAAAAGTGTTTTAACTGATATTTTGTTCCGTCATAGTGATTTTCTTGTTGATGGTCTCAAATCCTATTCATGTCTGAAGCTTTCTAAGATTGTGGATGCAAATTTTTGCAGTGATGGCTTTGGTCCCCTATTAGAACAGATGGTGCAAGCACTTTGTCGGCATGTATCGGATGATTCTCCTACTGTTAGGCGCCTCTGTCTAAGAGGGCTTGTCCAGGTATTCTTGGTCATAGAGTATTCTTTTTTCTTTTTCTTTTCTTCTAAGGAGGAGGAATGTTTACGCGAGGAATTTTCTAGTTTTTTTTTTCCTGATTTCATCATTAGGAGTCCCTCTGGTTCAGTTTGATTTCCTCGGTCAAATAATATCATGGCGTCATTTCGTAATTACTGCTTTAGTTATAAAAAAAATCCTTCCTTTGTTTTCCCTTTCCTTTGTGGCTAGGTGCATATAATTTCTACTCTGAATGAATGAGAAATTAGTAAAGTTTTGAATGCCGCCATAGTCATTGCTCAAGTACCGTATATTTTCACTTCTCTTGGGTTGAGGTTCATTTTGCCTGCTGGTCTTGCATATGCCATCTATCCATGTTCTCCAGTATACTACTCAAATCCTAGGGGTGATATTAGCTTTGATCGATGACTCAGATGAGTCGGTCAGTTAACTGCAGTATCATGGTTGCTGATGGTAAAGCTTGCTCGGTCTTTGTTAGTATCTTATATTCTACCTTCACGTGAATGTTTTCTGCTAACATCCTACTATGTAGGTTCTTGAGTCCTCATCCACGGATGCGGTTGAACCTGTTCTCCTGAACCTTTCTATACGGCTTCAGAATCTCCAAGTAAGTTGATTCACTATCCAAACATAAATTTCTTCAACTTTAGATTTTCTGGTAATAGCCTCAAATTGGTTGAATTACTATACTAGTCCGATTGTATCACATTCTAAATTATTTATTTAGAGCTGATAACAGGGTGGCATTGTGTTAAAAAGACTTTTGTATCAGGACAGTAACACAACTCTGTTTGGACATCCTAGGGTGATGTCTTTTGCCTTGACATAATATTTTGCATTATTTGTCAACCTTCAAGACATGTCTCTTGATACAAGTTCTTCTTTAATTTGATATTATACCCCTTAAGTGTATGTGCTAGTTAAATAGATGAGTGACACCCATATATTGTACTGTGCTAGTGTTGCCACTTATGTTGCTCTGGCTCTTCAAAAATGCCGACGAGTGTATGTCGGATCTTCCAAAAGTAGTACATTTGGAGGATACGACACAGGGTGCATCAACATTTTTGGAGCATTCAAACAACATAGGTTGCCACAATTGGAGTCTGAGTTCTAAAAGAGCTGAAGTAATTTAATGGTAGGTTTTATAATTTGTCTCTGAAAATTAGTTCATATCGATGTGCGATTTATCTCTTGGGAAAGAAGCACATGTTACATCATTATCTTCTAATCTGTGGATTATAGAAATATTAGCAAGTGCATGTTGAGATGGCCATAGCGTATAACATTATTTTCTTGCCTCATAAAAGGAGTGCATGAATAGGAGTGCATGAATGAGAAGATACGCGCCAATGCTTATGCTGCATTTGGAGCACTGAGCACTTATGGAACTGGGCCTCAACGAGACTCTTTTCTTGAGCAGGTATCTTATCTCCCATTAAACCATTTGTCACCACCTAAATTTGATTTGGTATCTTTTTCTCATTAGCACATAGTTTTAGATGTTCTTTTAAATTTTATCAATTTTAATTGCATCATAAGGTGTCATATCCAACATCACAAGTCAAGACTGGTCTCAAACGAGGATGTTTTGGTTGTGTTGGCTTTATCATTTCAACTGAGCATGTGTAAAGGACGTTTCATATTCAACTGTTTCTTCTTCATTGAAGGATCAACATTTTTTTGATTGACAATATAGGTCACTTTTCACTAATAGTTGCCCCTCATGTATATTTACTGAATCATGAAATTCCAAGATGTGTTTGTTTATATTTTATGGTGCATTTTTTTAATTTTAAAACCTTTAATTTAATGCCTTAGATTGGGATCTCTAAAATAGGAGCATAATCTAGACTAAACTTTGTTGTTAATAGGTCTGTTAATTACTTAATTTCCCGTGAGGCCTCTGTTGGCAATGAATATTTTGTTTTACGGTCTCCATTTCTTGATCTGCTCTCTGTATATTTGAAGGAGCTCATACTTTTCTTCTACTTATCATCAAACTTTACTTTCTTGGGTAAAACAGAGTAGTAGATATACCCTTTCTATCCCACATCTTCATGGTCAGATATGAATTTTGAATGAGATATGATTTATTTTAGTCTCCATTTCTGTTGTACGCAGAGCAAAGTTCTTTAATTCTCGCTTTTCGATTTGGTTAATAAATATCTAATCTGTTTCTGTCTTGTATTGAACTTTATCAAGAAATGATCTTCACTTTTTCTACTCGTCAGGCTCATGCTGCTTTCCCACGGATTGTTTTACATCTTCATGAGGATGATCATAGTGTGAGACAAGCTTGCCGAGTAAGTTTAATCTGCCAGATTTTATTTCTTATGTTGTTCAGGATGCATAAAGAGTTAACTTTTCAACACGCCAGAACACTTTGAAACCCATTGCTCCCTTGATGGAAATTGATGGAATAACTGTTGTTTTCAACACTCATTGGTTTAGTTCGGACCATCGGTATGCACCGATTGATTTGAATAGTCCTTAATGGTTATTTATGAGAAATGATATTAAGTTGCCTTCAGTTTTTAGAGGCGACTATGAAGACTTTCTTCGAGAACTTGCAAGGCAACTAACTCAAAATCTTGCTGCCCGAGTAGATAGGTACATGACATCAATAATACAGATTTTGGATGCTGAAATTTGCAAAAAGCCGATGTTAAACATGTAGATTGACCATTTTTTGCTGGGAAGGTGAAGGCAACTTTGGATTATAGTTTAAGGCTAGTGTATGATTTTTTTGCTAAGCATTCATGATCGCAATATTGTTACTAGCTTACCTCATTGTTGTATATAGTCAGATGCCTTATACTCACCTTATTTTGTAATTACATTATATATTATATATGAAAGCAACAAGTTTATATTAATTATCATATTTTCTAGGTGCAAATGCAATGTGATTTAAGGACTAGATTGTAAATCCTTAAAATCCTTTTGAGTAGGAAATTTGTAATGGTTGCGAAATGATTTATGGATCACCTTCAAAATGGTCCCGAAATGATTTAGGGACCAGCTTAAAAGTTTTCGTAAATTGATTTATAGACGAGTTAAAAACTGGTCGCAAACTGATTTACAGACGAACTTCAAATTGGTCTCAAAATGATTATGGACCAGCATAGAAGTCGTCCCAAAATGATATATGGACCAGTTAAAATCTAGTCGCAAAATGATTTAACGACCATAATTTTGATTTCAATATGTGCGAATAGGTACCAGATATATGGTCCCTAAATGTATTTTAGGGACCAGTATTAACCTAGTCCCGAAAAAGAATCAGCGACCGACCCGATAATCTTGTCCCTAAAGGTCCTTAGCGACTAAGGCTATAAGGACAAGCGCAACTGGTCGCTATTGTCCTTTTTGGGACCAGTTTTCCCTTCGCTATTGGGCAGTTTTCTTGTAGTGCGGGCGGCAAAAAATATGGATGTCCACTGAAAAAGATTGTATCTTCGAGAGTTGTGTCAACCAAATTCATGTTGACCGTGACTCAAGGAAATCTAAGCAAGCCTAACACTCAAATTTTAAATCCTTTTCCTAAGAAGAGTACCATACAGTATTCTTTAGATTAAGTAGGATAGCCGAAACCTCGCATTGAAGGCCACCATGGGTAGACCAGGTGGGCCCATTAGGTTTATCCTGTCGATCCTAAAGACAGTTACACTTGCTCTTCTCAGGAAAACAATTTGAAGTTTGAGCTCTAGACTTGCTGAAATTTCACCGAGTCACAATTTCCAAGGATTTGGTTGACACAACACTTGAGGAGATAATATTTATCAATGGATATCATATTTCTTGATGCCCGATGAAAGACCAAGGACTTCTTTCACAGGTATATATTTCGTTTTCCCAGTTTGTACATCCTTTTCCCAATTAATACATTGTCTATCTGGAAACTTACCATGTTTTTTTGGTTGCACAATACACTAACTAATCTTTGGAAAGGCATATAACTTGGATCCTCAAAATGCTCGTTTTCTTGTCCACGTGATGAAGAAATTACTGTCTTGCCATTTCACATTTTTCGCTACACCAATCCACATATGTTTCTTCACAACAGCCCAACACACAATATCTAAAAATGAATTTCAAAGTTGATTTTTTAAAACATGAAGAGGACTATGTATGCACAAAAGATACATACAGTAATATGGTTGTCTTCCATAATGAACCCTTGTAGTGGATAGGTTATTTGGATAGAACCTCCAGTTTTATTCCTTCGTCTCTGTCTCTTGCTTATTCTATTCTTTTCCCTTGTCCCTATTTACATTAATTGTGCAATATCTCTTCATTAGCTTCTTATACTTGCTTTCCTTTTCTATAATATATGCTTGATTTATCTTTTCAGCTCTGTCGGCCTATGCCTAATGAGTACCTCTTACTTGTATTCATACTACATTTCTACCCCCTGCATATCATAGTATGACTTCTTTCCATTAAGGTATGCCTTGTGTGGAGCAACTTTTGGATTCAGAGACTGCGGTGAACCCCTGAAATTTGGATTTGCTAATCTCTCTTTATTTTAACTAGTACTAGTCTTTCTTTTGCTTTCACATATGGTTCGGTATATATTTTTATTTGACCTTGTACTCCTATTTAGATTAGAAGCTCGACTACCGAATGAAACCATATCTTTTGTCATATATTTTCGTCATCATTCCTTTTATCCCCTCTATTCTATTCTTGTAATGACCCTCACGGTAAAATGTATTTTCTTGCATGCTTTTACTTCTTTGCCCCTACCCATAGCTTCCTTGAAGCTTTTGTGTCTTGCTGGATTGAGTGGGATGCTTCCCGAGGTGGTCGAGAGAGTTTTGAGCAAGTTTTTCCCTTTGAAAGGCTTATTAAGTGAAAGAGTTGACTTTAGTCAACAGCCGCAGAATCTGATGTCGTATAAAATATTTGAAAGCTTGGGAAGGTCCGTATTGATCTAGTAGAATGGTTGGTTCTGGTTGTGAGGCCCTCGGCTTGAGTTTGTGCGGTTAGGCATTTCATCTTTGAAGTTTTGGCCAATGTTTGACTTCGGTCAATGTTCTTGGTAAACGCACTCGGATGATAATTTCATTAGTGTGGTTAGCTCTGAAATACTGTGATTCTTCTAGAGTGACCTTTGGTTTGGATATCGAGGTGTTCGGGATTAGTTTGTTGTTATACCCCATTTTAACTCACGTCAAATAGTGTCAACATATTGATGATTCCTAAATTAATTAGCTTAAGGAGTTACCACCTAATTATTTTTTAGGTAAATTAGGACACTTAAATATTTATTTAAGTAATGCTAAAATTAACTCCAATTAATGGTCTACTTAACTTATGTGATTCTAAATAAGGGTTCAAGTTATCCTAAAGGGATGAGATTAAGCATCATTTAAGATCTATTAAATATTGTTACCAACGAAACTTAGGTTGACAAAAATATATGATTTGATAAAAAATATGACGTAAGTGAAAATAAAAATATAACTTAAGAAGGCGTTACTAGTATTTTAAGAGAAGTACCATGTAAAGAAATTATTTAGGCTTCAAAAATTCACTAAGTAGATAAATAGTATATATATTAATACTTCTACTATAAGTTAATGAAAGCCCTCGTTCGGACAGTTAATTGCAGAAATTATTTTTTATGTAGTTGAATTCATCAAATAACGAAGCAATGAGTCTAACCAGCCTTTATTAGCATTGAACTAAAATTGAATCAAGCCATCTCTACTAAAAAGGCGAATTGTTTATACAGCTTGACCAAAAATACAATAATATGTAATTAGATACAAAATTAGTCTTAGAAAAATGAGAAAACAGTAATAAGCTTACTCAAAATTTAAAAATATTGTATACTTGAAGATTTGCATAATAATGTAATAATTTTTCCAAATTTTAATAACGGGCAAAATTAATTCGGAAAACCTACACTTTAGATGAAATATTTTAAAAACTAGTTGCAGCCATTTGTTTTCAATTGAAAGAAAATAGCCAAGCTCTGAATGCTTTTGAAGGTAAGCTGTTAAAAATTTTGTTTTAAAACAGAACGTTGATTCCTTTTATATTAAGAAAATGAAAATGTTTTTTTTTAATTTAAGGGTCATTCATGCTAGTTGAACCATACATCTTGATTTCAAAAAACATTCCAACAAATCATGCATTATTATATTTAAAGAAATGACTATTGTTAGTTAATATAAAATTCTTATTGAGAGAGTAATCTTAACTAAGACCTAAAACCATTATAGTTTATCGATGACATCAAATCAAAGTAATACATGATTTTTATATACATTAATGATTAGTTGCAGATAGAATGCACCTTCTTATAAAGAAAAAGATTTATAATGTGGTATAAGTTGAAATGCACAATTCATCAACTTCTATTACATGAGTATATTTAATAAACCACACAAATACACAATGCACACTACACAATGAAGAAAGAACATAATATTGGCACTGACCTTTTGTATGGCAATGAACATTGGCGAGGTCTCAGATCTACTGAAATCTAACTTTACCCACAAATAAAACAACATGATTAACCAAAAGAAAAGCTCTGTCAATATTTTTGAGATTTGGAGTCTGGAGAGGAGATGCAAATGAAAAATTCAGTGTTAACAAAGGATGAGTGGCAGCCAAATTTTGAAGTGTAAAAGAGTAGCTCAAAAACCTATGAAACTGACTTTAAAGTAAGCTTTTATAGTTGAAATAAGAGTTCTTGAAATGTTGAGCAAGAATTTTAATTTGCTGTTTTGAAATTAATCAAAGATAACCATTAAGGAACAAACGTTGGGATTTTTGGATGTACTTGGCATTCTTCTCGTGATTGACATAGCCATAGAACTAATATAGAGTGAACACCTCTATCCATATCTAAAGAATAAGGAGTCAAACCATCCTTTATTAGCATTCAACTAAAATTGATTCATGCCATCTCTACTAAAAAGGCGAATTGTTTATACAGCTTGACCAAAAATACAATAATATGTAATTAGATACATATTTAGTCTTAGAAAAACTAGAAAACAGTAATAAGCTTACTCAAGATTTAAAAATATTATATACTTGAAGATTGAAACCCAATCATAATAAAGTAATAATCTTTCCAAATTTTAAGAACGGGCAAAATTAATTTCAAAAAACCTACATTTGAAATGAAATATTTTTAAAAATAGTTGCACCCATTTGTTTTCAATTGAAAGAAAATAGTCAAGTGTTTAAAAAATGATTCTCAAGGTCTGAAAGCTTTTGAAGGTAAGCATGTAAAAAATTGGTTTTAAAACAAAACGTTGATTCATTTTATATTAAGAAAATGACAATGTTTTTTTTTTATTTAGGGGTCATTCATGCTAGTTAAACCATACATCTTGATTTCAAAAAAGATTCCAACAAATCATGAATTATTATATTTAAAGAAATGACTGTTTTTAGTTAATATAAAATTCTTATTGAGAGAGTAATCTTAACTAAGACCTAAAACCATTATAGTTAGATATACAAATGACAGCAAATCAAAGAAATACATGATTTGTATATACATAAATGATTAGTTGGAGATAGAATGTAACTTTTGATAAAGAAAACGATTTATAATATCGTATAAGTTGAAATGCACAATTTATCAAATTCTATTACATGAGTATATTTAATAAACCACACAAATACACAATGCACACTACATATTGA